CCCCGAAATAACCGTGGCCGCCTCGCTGTAGAGCAGAGGATCAATATCGATGTACACCTTGCCAATGGCATCGTTGGCACTGTACGTGTCGTGATCGAGAACTGTGATCTGCAGAGGCTCATCCTGCAGCTCCTCATCATCCACCTGGAGAGCAAATATTCACAGGAATCTCAGTACTTAAAAATGCGCAGGGAAACGCTGCTGAACAAGAACGCAGAGGAGAAGAGTGAGGAATGAACAGTGACCTGACACAGATCAATCTGTAATGTCAGTTTCCTGAAGCTAAACAACATTCTAAAATTCTAAACAACTTGCACTCGTTTTGGTTTTATCCTTCAGAGACTGGTGAGATCCTTGAAACAGAGCTATCACTGGAAGAAGAACAGAAAGAGATTGTTCATTTTAAAAATATTGTCCGCCTATAAACTGTCCACCTATCTCCACAATACATACTGATAGATAAATAAATAAATAAAATAAGGAAGAAAGGAAAAGAAAGAAAGAAAATTTAAAACAAAATAGCTCAAAGGACTCTTATGCACTGAAGTTTATGGTGTTCTCATGACTGGTCAGTGGCTTAAAAGCAGGTATTTTACACAGCCTGCAGTAAAAATTCAGTAATTCTACACATGCAATTTCCTAAACAGATGCAATAATCCATCTACAGATAATGACTATTTTCTTTTAGGACTAAGCCATTCCACAGATTTTTGTGTCCAGTGTCACAAACCAAGAATTAAGTTTGCTAACAGCAATGGGATGACTCATCTAAGTGTTTGCAGATTTGTGATATTGCCTTAGAGCACGGTAAATGAACCAGAACTACACGTTCAAGTGTTACAATAATTTATTTATTCTAAACATAATCCTCATTCTTTTAAGTAGTAAAAAAATGAAAGAAACACGTAAACACTTGTTCAGGGCATAATGTCAAAGGACATGAACAAATTAGATCCTGGAAAACAACAAGCAATTACAGGAAAATGCTGAGTGCCCTCGTTATTACATAAGGAAATGAGAAGAGAAAGTGTCCAACAATTGTTGTCCGAGCTCTTTATTTTGTAATCTTCACACATGAACTTTTCATTTTCTCCTCTGCATTATCTTTGCAACCAAGTGTAAGACTTCAAATAACAATTAACTTTCCTTGCTCAAAATGAAAAAAACACAAGAACACCTTAACTTTCATATATATGTATTCATTTATACATCCTGATAACTGCACTGAAAAAGCCTAACCTCTGCTGCCTTTGCCCCACCTTCACTGCAGCACTCTTTTCTAACTGAACACCATTTAAGCTGGATCCAACTGGCAAGCTTTTATCTTCACAAACACTCCTAAAAAGCCAAAGAGACGCCCTTAGCAAACAAGGTCTGACTGGAGCTAGGTTTGCTGAAAAGCCTTTGTGCATGTAAACACAAATACACTTCAGTGCTCAGAACTCATTCTCTGCTGGAAATACAATTACTTAATTAAGAGCAGCTTAATTAACCAGAGTCTGTACAGTTACAGGCAAACTCTTAAAAAATACTCACTTCAAATTTGAACCACTCAGAGTTCCACTGAGGATTAAGCGATTTGGGATACACATCTGTCTTAAATGTTGTATTTCCAAATTTCACCTAAAAACACAAACACTCAATTAGCAATTACAAATACTAATAAAAATGTTTTGAAACTTGTTTAATTGACATATGCAAATAATTTCAAATACATATCTCAACAAATAGTTTTCTTTTCACCAAATGATTTTTAAATTCCATTTACATGTATCAGTATCCACGTGTCAATGACACTTCCAATCAATCTCTCTCTCATCCTGTCATACTACTAAAATTGTTTCTTTTCCTCCTCAATCATTTGAGAGGCGAAAATATCACTGTTCAAAGTCACTTTACATACTCTCCTTGCCTTCTATAATGAAAAATATTCTAAATGTTGATAGATTCTAAATGTTTATGACCTATTACTTCTCTCTAGGATTTCTCAATCAGCTCCACAGACAATTGATGAAATAAATAAAAAAACAATCTGGATTTGAGATATACAGAGAGAGAGGACTATAGAAATTGAATATTTTCTATAATTTTATTGCTTATTGCACCTTCAACCACATAACACACTTCAGCAGTATCCATATGGTCTCCAGAGGCATCTATTTCAGACTAAGCCCATTTTAGGTTTTGTGGGGGCTTCTTGTTCGCTTTTTTTATAGTGAAACTGAATTTCTGTAACGCTCCATACATCAGGAAGCCACACAGCACCATGTAAGAGCCTTTATTTCACTGCAGCTTTCATTTCAAACCATTTAAAAACCCTTGCAGTTCTCTGAATGCTGCCTCTCAAAAAAAATAAGCACTTCACCTCATACCAGGTACTTAAAAATACTCAAAGTTACATTTTTAAATTTATTCAAGATTCTTTGGGAAAACAATGAGTAGGCAGATAGAAAAGAAATGCTGGAGTTACGGGTGTGTAGATTTTGACAGCTTTTATCTTTTAAAAGGCTAAACGCAGTTTGGAAACCAAATTTAGGCCTGGATTTGAACACTGTGCAGTAATTTTGCCCAAGCCAGTGTTAAGTGATGCCCGTGTACATTTCACTAACACAGTGATTATTTTGCACAGGTGCAAGAGATGCTGCACTTGCTGAAGTGCAATAACGAGGTGTTAGCCCTGGCTGTGAGGGAGCTATGATTAAACACAGCTCTGACTCCAGAGGCTGCAGGATCCAGCAGCCCCGAGCTCCACCCAGCCCATCTCAAAGCTATCTTGGGAGTAATCAGCTCCCTCAGAGCCCCAGGCAGCTAAAACTGAATTTTCCCAGCACTCCAGCTCCTTCACTGAAGCTGGCAGAGATAACACAACACCACGCTGCTGTCCACCGTGCAAAGTTAAAAGCACATTTATGGAAGACATTGTATCAAAATATTCTGAGCTGGGACAAGGATCATTGTGCTCATGCTAGTGAGCGTTGCCTAACCTGAGCCAAGTAAGAGCTCTTAAGTCTCTTCTCATTTTCTCTTCTAGTTCAAAGTTTATATTGCAATATTTAACAAGGAAATTTGAAGTTAGTAAACAATTAGAACCTTAAAATCTGCTTTGCATTTTTATTTAAGGAAAAACTCATTGCAAGTTTTTTCAGCAATCACACACAGAAAAATGAAACAATAGTTTCAAGCTCAATTAACTTTGAAATAAATCTCACCTGCTGTATTGCCTTCTACACACATGGAAAGGGAAGTTACTTCACACTGTTCCTAATGAACAATCCTAAAAGTAAGGTTCCCATCTGTGTATTTCTATACCCTTATCTGTGCCAAGGCGCCCATGGAACTGCACGTCAACCCAGATAAGTAAATTGATCTTCATTAAAATGTTTATTTTCCTTTTTTTGCTACACTAGTCTTTTACTATATGAATTTCAAAAATCTACTTTGCTACACCAACAGTAGGGCTGGGGAACAAGTAACCCACAGAAGAGGAGAGCTGTTTCTCCTAACACAGAGTAAAAACAGGCCAAATGAAACTTGGTAAACTGTACTTCCTAGTCCTGTTTTCTCTGTCTCCTAGTAACGAGCATCAGGGTTGTTGTAATTTTAAACTGGATTAACAGGCAGCCTACAAGAGAAGCCTTTAAAAATTAAAACCTGATGGGTGAAACAGCTGACAAAAGGGTGAAACGCTAAGTTTCATGTAATAAAATAAAATTATGTACTATTTCTGTTCCACTGAAAAGCTGAAATACACCTTCACTTTCCACCAGCTTACTCTCCCATTTAGCAATGCCCTTAGGGTCTAACATCACCCAAAAAATTTTAAGCACCAAATTAAATCAGGACTTACATACCCCTAATTTATTTTTATAAGATTTTCCAGTGTATACAGGTCTAGAAAGGCATTCTGTCTTCCTACCTTAATTCTAGTATCATGCCAACTTCAACCACTCATTTGTGGTACACCTCAAGCAGTATTTGTGGCACAAACCACGCATTTCCACAGCACATCATTTTTAAATAGCTCTGAATTTCCTCAGAGTATTACATTATAGTATATTATTCCCGAACCTATGGAATAATTCTGAAATGTTCTAAGTCATTTGTACTGGAAAAAAGTAATCAAAAACCATAAAGATCATGTAACAGAAATCATAAAAAGGCTTGGAAGGGGCCCTAAAGTCCATCTCATTCAAACCCCTGCCACGGGCAGAGACGTCACCCATCGGATCACGCTGCTCAGAGCCCCATCCCACCTGGGCCTTAAATAATTCCACTTATTTTGCACTTCACCTTATTTTACAGTCCCTTCCTGAGCAAAACCCTACATACTGCCTGCAAACTACGTGACCGCAAAGAAGGCTGAAGCCAGACAATCCGGGCGCAATAAAGTGATTTAAACACGCAAACAATATTAAGTATTTGTTGACTAAAAACCCCCTCGGAAAATATTTTAGTATTTCAAACGTTTTAAAAGGAAAGATGAATATTAAAAGCAAAGCCCGTACAACCACTCATATAATCAGCAACACAAGCGATTTAGAGAGGGTTTCATCACTTCGCCATCCTCCTCGCCGGGAATCAGTGAGGCTGGGAATGACCTCCCCGACCAGCGAGCCCCAGCTGTGACCGAGCACGGCACGGGTGTGCAAACCTGCAGGGACGGCGCTCCCCCAGCAGCCGCTGCCGCGTCCCGCAGTCCCGGCCCGGGCGCTCCCGCCCCTGTCCCCGGCTCCCCGCTCCGGGCCCGGCAGGTGCCGCCGCCGCGCGGGCCCGGCCCGCTCCCCCTCACCCACCTCCACGAAGGCGTCGGTCAGGTCGCTGGCGCGGTCCATCACCGGCAAATGGCGTCCCGCCACGATCTTGACCTTCAGCTTCCCCGGCATCTTCTTCCTCCCGCGGCGCCCTCCTCCTCCTCCCGCCGCTCCCGCCGGGGCCGCAGCGGCAGCGCCACCGCGCCTGTGCCTTGGAGCGGCGGCCGCGCCGCTGCGCATGCGCGGGGCCGCCCCGCCCCGGCCGGCGGGAGCGGGGCCGGGAATTGTCGGGGCTCGGGAGACCGCCCGGTGCAAACCCTGCCAGGGCACGGAAACCTGCTCGGGGATTTGGACTTCGTGGCCGCTGCGCACCACTGAAAAGTCTGGCACCGTCCTCATGGTACCCATTTACCCATATACGCATTAATGGGATCCCCCCCTCAGTGTTCCCTGGAATAAACAGGCGCAGCTCGCACAGTCCCTCCTCACGGCAGAGATGCTCCGGAGCCCTCGCCATGTCCGTGCCCCTCTCCAGCAGCTCCCTGTCCCTCTGTCCCGGGGCTGCACAGAGCCTCCGGCCGTGCCCTCCGTAGGCCGGGCAGAGGGGCAGGAGGGCCCCGAGCTGCCGGCCGCGCTTCCCTCAGCGCCCAGGACACCGCCGGTGCTCCCGGCTGCCGGACACGCTCCCGTGCCGCGGCCAACTAGTCACTTCCCGGTCCCTCCCCTCAGAGCCGCCCTCCAGCACATCCCCCTGCCCGTGCTGCTGTGTGGGGCTGTCCCTGGCCCGGAGCGGACCCAAACCCGGCCCACTGAGGCCGCGGTACCGCCCTGCCCGGCTCCAAGATGGCGCCCGCGGCCTCGGCCGCAGCCGAGCTCCGACTTCTCGATGGGGCTGCCCGAGCGCCGAGCTATCGATGGCGGCACGGGACCGCGTCCCGCATCCTACATCCCGCATCCCTCATCCTGCACTCCGCACCCCGCCTTGTACCCGCTGTAGCAGCCTCCGGCTGCTCTGCCTTCCCCAGGAAGGAGTTGCTCCCATGAGTACCAGTGAAAAGGGAGCCGGGAGCACCCGAGCATCCCCAGACACTCGGTGAGTGTCCTGTAAAGGATTTAAAAACAGCGCCCCGACCCCGCCACTCCCCGTGGGTTTGCTTTGTTTTCTTAATCGAAAGACAAATATTTACATTATTTGAAGGATTATGGATAGATTAAACGGAGTTTAGTGATCAGAAATAGGATTTGATACGGTTCCCGCAGCCGGGTTGTAACTTTGTGATGCCTGAAAAAGTTCTTTGTTTGGGCGCTGGCGCTGTGGGCACTTGTCAGAAAGCAAAGGAGCGGGGCCAGGGGTGGTCAGTGTGTCCTGCAGGGGGGTTGTGGACCCGGGCTGTGGGAGCTCCTGTGGGACACGGCTGGTGCTGCCGCTCCGCTCAGCAGCAGGAACATAAAAGAGCCCTTGTGTTGTGGTTAAGCACTCGTCAGGTGTCGAGCCAAATAGGAGATCTGCTGGGATTATTTTCCCTTCTTTCTAATCTTACAAAAAGACTAAATAATGTTATGGGCTGGAGAGTGATACACCAAACAAATCATATGACTGAAATGCATGGAGAACAAGTACATCTTACCGTTTTCTGGAGAAGCAGTTGTTTCATCCGTTGTCTCTGTGCTGCTCTCTTCTGGCTTTCTGAGGTACATATGAAGGAAAAGAGAAATAATGGAATTTCCTCAGGCATCATGACACCAGAATGTTAATTTTCTCAGCATACACTGATTATACTTTGAAAATTTACAGATTTCCTCCACTTTCAAACATCTTTGATCAGCAGCCAGATGGTTAATGTTACCTTTAAGCAATTGCTGGGCATCCAGATTAGCTCTCTTCAAAAAATAAGGGCTGTTCACAATGCTCAAAACAGTTTATCCAACAGCTATTGAGTAAGATTTTGTGGGAGGTGGGAGAGGGGTTTTTAACCATAAAATCAATTACAGCATGAAGTATCAGTATTTAAAACAAGCAGACATCATCCTATAATAAATACAATTTAAAATACAAGATATTCTGTAAAAGAATTATTGGCTAACTAAAAGTCTTAAAAGTTCCAAACAGAAATCAAATAAGATTGAAGCATCACCTTCTATTTAACCAAGGGGAATACCTGAAGCAAAAAAATCCCCAGAAGCATTTAGATGGTCAGTCAGTCAAAGGCTGCTAGGGTCAAAGGTTCAGCCAGATAAAGGTTTGTTCTTCATGTCCTTCTGTGGGCATTGTTTTCCAGGTGGAAATTCCATTACTTCTCTTTTCCTTCATATGCACCTCAGAAAGCCAGAAGAGAGCAGCACAGAGACAACAGATGAAACAACTGCTTCTCCAGAAAACGGTAAGATGTACTTGTTCTCCAAGTATATCTTGCTATATATATATAAATAAATTCTTGCTTTATTAGCTCCATTTCCCTGGTTTTCCCTAGAAACTGGCACCACAGTCTGTAGTAACAGCCAGCCTTGTGCAGATCACAAGGCAAAAGATCAATCCATGCATTATTCACATGGGAGTTGCAAGTGTCCTTGTCATCCTCAGATCTGGAGTGTTTATTCAGGTGCCATCATGGGCAGAAATTCATGCAGTGTTTCCACCACTGAAGTCTCACCTGCAGCCTAGAATTCAACTTAGGAAGCTCCATAACTGGGTACTGATGGTTCCAAAGACATACCAAACTTTAGGGACCATGGCTTTAAAATCATGTTTTAGGAAAAGAAAATCCTTAGCTGAATAATACTATGGACAACACTTCACAGTTGCAAACACAGATGAAAGGCAGGGCTTGGCAGATGTTCCTGAGAAAGAGATGATCTGACATAGAAGGTCACAACTCTGCCACCTTCCCTCCTCTGTCGGAGGCTCGAGGGTGCTGCCATGTGAAGTGTCCTCTGTCAGTCCATTTTAAAACTGTTTGACCTTACTCTAAAGTGCTTATGTGATACAGCTTCCTCTGCCATACAAAGCCTGAGGGGTGTTTGCCTGGAGCTGGATGTCCCTCAACCATGAGTGATGGTTTTTCTCCTGCTCTTGAGCCGCGGTTTGTGTGTGCCTCTAGTGTCACCATCAGTCCAGTTACTGCCACTGCCACCACGAGGAGCAATCCCTTCTCTGCTTCCCAGTTTCTACTTGCTGGCCCCACCCTTTGTGTGATTGCACACGAAGTGATCTGATGCAGCTGAGAGCCAGAAAAAACAAAAAGTGCAGGAGGGCAGGTGGGGGGAGGTTAGTTTCCAGTGGGATCAATTCCATATTCCAAACACTTGCATAAGTGAAACAGAGGACTTGGCCTGGCACAGGAACAAACAGAGTGGGCACAGAGGGAACACAGTGTCCGTATCAGCTAAAACTGGTACTGGTAACTTGTGTGTCAAAAGATACCCAAAGGGCTCTTGACATGAAAGTAGTTGAGACATAAATCTTCCACACCTAGACATTCCTGATCTTACCCACTGAGCTGGAAGTAGAGGAGCTGACAGTGATGGTACCAACATGCCTTCACAAGGTGGCATTTTTTTCCCTGGAATACAACACGTTTTACAGGAAGGAAGACAGGGAGGAAGGAAGGCAGGCCACAAACCAGAACCCTCAGTTTTAAAAATATGTTCATTCTATTCCTAGATTGTTTTTCTAGTGCTGCACCATTAAATGAAGAAGCCTTTTGTACTTCCCTTTCCCCTCACCTCTTCCTGTGGCAAAATACAGAAGGAGCCTAATACAGATCGACCTCAAAGAGAGGGCCAGAGGGAAAAGTGCCATGTTGATTCTTGTGGAGATGTTCTTTTGTTGTCTCTTTGTTACTGCATCACGGATGAAAACAGATGTTTCTTCTCTTCACAAGACATTGCATGGCCTGTCTAAACACAGAGAAAACAGCACTTCTGCAGATGGCGCCACATCCCAAGGCTGGAATCATCTTTTTCATCAGGCAGCTGCGCTGTGATGGATAGTTTTATGAAATATACATCCAGATTCATGCCTGCATGCTAAACAAATGAATGCTCATTTGTTTCAGAAAAATAATTTGCTAGAGATCTGTCTAGCAGACAGTTGTTTGCATTTAGGGAATACCTTCTGCACAAAATTAAGTGGCAGGCAGGAGTACAAGAGTGGACAGTGGTTTTGTGAATAGGAATGCTGAGGTCACCTACATATTGGCAGTTTGGAAGCCCTGAGCCTTGCTTGGCCAGAGCCATCAGCCACTGAGTAGGAAAAGCTCAAGTCTACATTAATAGGCTCGCACAAACAGTTCTGGAGAAGTTAAACCTTGAAAGCACTCACACTAACAGCCAATCTTGTTTTCTCATTCGGCAGTTGGGTTTCTCCACAGGAAGCTCCTGACAGTTTGCAGGGAAGTAGCTTTGGGTTTTATTTGGAGCTAATTTCTGCTAACAAAAATAACCTTTGTGCTTTTACTTGCTCATGTGTATGTCTGGAAAATCTTGACTCCTGAGCAATTAATGTGGGTAAATGCAACAACATGTCTTGCCCAAATAGCTGACGGTGCCCAGGTGCTCCTCTGAAAGTGCTTGATGCCAGTGACCCTGTTCCCTTCACCTTGGCATTTTTGGCTGGAGTCACTCGGCCTCAGAGGCCATGCCAGAGAGGCTGATTCACTGCCCCAGGCATCTCCTCTTTGGCAGGCTCCTTGGACACTCTCCTTGCTGTCACAGATACCTGGGGGACACAGTGGGGGACCTGCTTTGCTGGGGTTTTTATTCCCTTTTGGTTTCCTGGAGTTTCCTGAATAAACGGAGAGGTGTTTTCTTTATAAGGAATCGTCCGTACATCCCACGTGTCCCTCTATTGTTCAGGCTGGGGGAAACTACACTGCAGCAGGATCTTGGTTTCCGGCACTCCCGTCCTCTCCCTGTACACAGGCTGAAGTCACAACCCTCCCCATGAGTCCTAAACATTGGTTACTACAGAAGCACCGTGTTTTTGTAGACAGCTGTTTATAATTTCGGGTCTGTGAGGGAACGAGTGACAAATTTAGAGAAGTAAAACTACTTGAGAGACTTTTCCCTATTTGCTGGAAAGAAGCAAAGGAAAGTTTGGGGAAAATAAAACAATTGGAAGACAAGGAGACATTGCAAGAAGTGGGTAACTGCAAAATGAACCTTATAAGGTAATAGATGCTTGGCCTTACCAAGTTTAGAGCACTAGACCTAGAAAGGCATCCTACATAATTGCATTTTACATCAGCTTGAGTCAGGGAGCAGGAGGAAACAGTTTTTCAGCTCTTATAATAAGTTATAAGCTATTGTTTTTAAGAACAGAGAAAATAAGTTGTCCCGTGTTGTCACTCACCTTTCTTTCTCCTTCCCCAAGCTGATCTTCCGCCATAGATTCTTCCTCACTGGTCCCAAAGCTCAGCTGCCTTTGAAATGAGTTTTCATTGCAGGTTGCACACAGTCCCTCGCAGCCTTTTCAGTGAAGGGATGGTGGCACACAGCCCTGGAGCCGAGTGCTTAATGGCTTTTATCTGCTGCTCTTTGCTTCCTAGGCAGGGCTCCTCTGGCCTTCCCAGGGCTGCTGCTGTGGGTGGAACCTCCACTGAAGGCAATTACTCAGGTGTCTCTAATCAGTGAAAATTGCCTTCTTGGAAAGTGGGTCTCCAGCCATGCCCTCAACATTGTCACCCTCCACGTCCTTCTATTGCTCTTGTACACAAATCTCCGTGTGTTTCCTCCATCTCCTCACCTGAATCCTCACTGCTCTCCTAACAGCTGCCACTCACGATTAAATTTGTTCTAGTGGAGGTGCCATGTTCTACTTTGGTTGGACATTTGCTCTCTGTGGACTGGTCCCACCCGTTTCAAAGCCCCAGGAGTTGGCTGTGCCCAGCCCAAGGCAGTTCATGGGCTGCACAGGTCACCCCCACAGCCCCTGACAGTGAAACCCTCTCAATTTTGCCCAGTACATCTCCTTTCCCCAAATGGCTAGTTTGCCCAGTTTGCTTCTTGTTTGTGTCTGCACATTGATGAAACTACCACTTTATTTTTAATGCAAACTCATAACTCTTGTGCTTAAAGAGAAAAATCTTCAAATAGTAAATTGTAGCAAGTGAATTTAAAAATATTATGGGAATTATTTTTGTGTTTTAGTTTTTGGAGCCAGTTCATGATGTGTAAGCCCTAAGGGTTTGCGTTATCGTTGAAGGAACTGCTTCTCTGCAAAATTATAATAAACTCTGTAACTCTCTTGTGTTACACAGAATCCCAGGATGGCTCAGGCTGGAAGGGACCACAGTGGGTCACTGGTGCCACCTCCCTGCTCCAGCAGGGCCATCCCAGAGCACAGGGCACAGGATTGTGTCCAGAGGGGTCTGGAATATCCCCAGTGAAGAGACTCCACAGCCTCTCTGGACAATCTGTTCAGTGCTGGGTCACTGCCCAGGACAGAAATTGTTCCTCCTGCCCAGGTGGAACCTCCTGGGCTCAGTCCCTGCCTGTGGCTCTGGTGCCATTGCTGGGCCCCCAGAGCAGAGCCTGGGCCCTGCTCGGAGCCCTCCCTGCAGCCAGGGACACCCAGGGCTGAGGGCCCCTCTCAGCTGGGGCTCCTCTCCAGCTGCACAGCCCCAGCTCAGTCCATTCTCTTAAGAGAGATGCTTACATCCCTACCAAATTTGATAGTTTATATTCAGCACATCTTTGTCTGCTTAGGTCACAGCCTACAGTGCTTTACAAACTGTTGAATCCATGCACAGTGATAAGAATGGATATGCTGAAAAGCATGGTCTACAGCAATAAAGAATAATCTAGATTTAAAAGAAAAAATGACACTAATGTTGCCCTTTATAGAGAGTATAATAGAAAATTAAATTTCTCAGAATCTCTGGAAGTATCAACTCCTAATTTTGAATCCCTTCTGCATGATATTTTTCTTAAAAACAAAACAAAACAAACAAAACAAACAAATAAAAAAAACCCCAAACAAAAACCTAGCTCTGTGTTTTCACCCATAACACTATCTTCACCTTCCTTTGGCAAATAAAAAACTGTCCAGTATAACTCAGCTGCTCACTCATTTAAGCCCCTTAGTTTAATAACCTCAAGACAGCCAAACCTGTCATCTTCTAATGCTAAAATCTCTATACATCAGAAACTGTTGACCAAGAAACTAATTTATATTTCTGGGGTGACCATAGCTACACTTTAGACTTCCAGGAAGTCTAGACCATGGAAATGGATCTTTTGAATCCATGTTATGCCCTCAAGGCTTTTTTCACATGTTGAAGCCTTGACCATCCAAACAGTACAAACCTAAATTTTACACACAGTGCGTAGGGTAGAAGGCACACACCAGGCTGGTTTCTACTGCTGCTTTTTGCTGGATAAA